CAAGTGGAGATTTATGCTAACTGGGAGAGCTGAATGCCAGGAAAATTCCCAGCATGCTCTTCTCTTCTGAGCTCATCCTGTTGACCTACTGACTTGGGGCAGAACCCTTTACTGTAGGCAGGGAAACATTCTAATCTAGCTCAGCAGCTTTCTGATGGATTCTTTTGTTCACTAACTGACACTGGAGGGTAGAGTGTTTGGAAATGATGAGGTGATGAGACAAGAAGTCAATATCTTTTCCAACATGACCTCAGAACATAGAGGGGACATTTGGCAAGCACTTTTTTTATTACAGGACAGAGAAAAAAATCATTGATTTTTTTTATTTTTTAAATTCCTATCACAGATTGATGGATGTGTGGGTGACATTATTTTACTGATATTTAAGAATGTCAGATAAATTATAAAACAGACTTCTAGCTCTCAGCATATTTCTGAGGAAAGATCAAAGAGGCGCTGTAGAGGAATAAAACAGCATCTGAAGGGTGTTCAGAGGGTAAGAGGAAGAACGGGCTGTGCTGTGAAGAGCAGAGCGATCTCAGGCTCCATACACTCCTGATCCTTAGTGAGAAAGCTCGTGTAATTAAAGAAGAAAAGAGACAACAGCAACAAAATCAATCCAGCAGTGCCAGGCACATGTTTTACTGTATCCTCACCCCCACTCACAGAGCACAAGGTGTCTAGCAGGAGCGTGACGATTCCTTAGTCACTCACTCTTTTTCATTCTTTGGGCAAAATTCACTGTGCTGTGCCATCCAACTTTCTGTGACGATGGAAATGTTCTGCATCTGTCCTGTCCCATACGGCAATCATCGGCACTTGTAGCTCTTAAGAACCTGAACTCGATTAGTGTGACTGAGGAAATGAAGTTTTGCTCTTATTTAATTCTAGTTAATTTAAGGAGCCACACATAGGTGACTAATAGCTACTCTACAGGAGAACACAGTACTAGAAAGCAGAAACAAAAATCAGCCAGCTCTCTCACACTACAGTTTCATTTCTAGTTCTCCTGTGAAGATATTGAAGCTCAAAGGATTAATGTACTTGCTTATATGATCAGAAAGCTAGTAAGTGACAGAAGAGAATTGAACTTAAACTCACCTGGCCCCAACCTTGTTTCTGCTGTCACAATATTAAGATGCAGATATCCTTTATGTAAAGGAAGAGTTCAATGAAGGACTGGCCATCATCCATCCACTAGGCATCAGTTCTGAGAGCAAACTTCCAGTAGGCTCCTAAGGCTATAAATCTTAACTGGAGAGCACTTCCCATCTTATTACCAATGAGCAGCTAGCGGATTGGAACAGCCAATTTATTAACCTTTTGTTAAGAGCCTGTCGTCACTTTATGCCACTGGGCTCCTTCACTACCTGCGTTCCTGAGAGAGAAGTCCACCGCTGACATTGAGTAGTCTGACACACAGCAGCACTTCAGCAAGATCTAAGGCTGCCCATCTGTCACCCAGGGAGGACGTACAAGATTTCAACCACCAACCACCCATTACCTGCCTCTAACAAAACACTATCCCACCAGAGTGCAGAAAATTCCAAATTTTAAATAAACAGCTATGAAAGGAAGCTGACTAGATATACTATGACCTCTTTCAGCCATATCATATGAGAAACCCATTGAATGTGGAAGAATTACTCTTCAGTAAATGGTGTTGGGATTACTTGACTTCTACATGTAAAAGAATTAAACTGTACCCAAATCTCATACCACTGATGGAAATCCACTCAAAATGGATCAGCGACATATATGTAAAAACTAAAACCTGAAACAATTAGTAGAAAACACAGGGCTAATGCTTCAGTCCTCGTTTTGACAATGACCTCTTACATATTATCAAAAGCATGAGCAACACAAAACCAAAGCAGATAAACTGGACTTCATCAAAATTAGAAAACTTTTGTGCACTAAAAGACTTATATCAAGAAAGTGAAGTGACTACCTACAGAATGGGAGGAAAACACAGGAGGGCTATATGTATGATAAGAATTTAACACCCATCAAATACAAAGAACTCTGACAACTCAACAATAAAAAGATAAACAACCAAATTGGGGGGGGGAATAGGTATATTTCACCAAAGAAGGTATCTGCATGATAAATAAGCACATGAAAAAATAAAATTTCCCTCTTATTATCTTTTGAGAAAGTCAAATCCACAATGAGATATAGCTTCACAACCACTAAACAAGCTTCTGTGAAGAGAGCCCTCTCTCATGGTGACCATGTGTGCACCAGAGTAGAACTGGTCATGGGATTCCTGTAATAAACGTGTTCTTAAGAGTAGATCTCAAAGCTTTTCTTCAGAGGCATGTGTGAGTTAGCTCGGACTCCTAGTCTTAGATTTAGTGAACAAGTACATTATCATCAGTAGAACTAAGGGACTTCTCACATTACTGGAGCTGCTATTATGAGACAAAATCAAATACAACAAGTATCAGCGAGGATACAGGGAAACTGGAACCATTACCCATTGTTGGTGGGACTGCAGAACAGAGCTGCTACTGTGGGAAACAGGTTAGCAGTTTCTTAAAAAGTTAAAATATAAAATTAATATGTGACTTGGTAATTCCAATTCTAGATATATATCCAAAAGACTTGAAAGCAGAGATGCTTGTACAACAATGTCATTGCAGCACTATGCATAGCAGCTAAAGGTGGAAACTACACAAATGTGATTAACTGGTGAATATATAAACCAAATACAGTCTCTACATACAACAGCATATTTTTCAGTCTTACAGAGAAATACAGCTCTAATACATGCTAAGATATGAATGAACCCTGAAAACATTATGTGAAATAAGTCAGACATAAAAATTACTAATACTGTATGATCTCACTTACATGGAATATGTAGAATAAGCAAATGGATAGAGACAAAAGTCTATTATCAGTTACCAGAAGCAGGTAAGAGTAGAATGAAGCGGGGAATGGTTGGGGAGAACTGAGTTTCTGTTAAAGAGTAATGCAAAAATTTGAAAAGGAAGATTAGTGATAGTTCCATAATGTGGTGAATGTAACTGTGCACTCAACTGTACATACACAAACACAAAGTTTAATAACAAATGTTTTACCATATGTATTTCACCAGAATTACAAAAAAGCAACACATACAGAAAAGTGTTTTTTACAGTTCTGACTGTTTAGTTGAATTTTCCAAACTTTGTGAAGATGATCAGTATATATGACAGCCCACTCCACCGTGCTTTGAAGCTTTTATTCTAATCAAATATTAGCCACATGAACTTGTGGGAAGGAAACAATGTGAAAAAGCTTTGATTAAGCTTCTGTCACATTCTATTATGCTCTATAAGCATTATTCGGTCCTGTTTACCCTTTGCTGACAAACTAGATTATACTTTCCTTACTAAATCAACAGGACCCTACTTAATAGCATAAAAGATAAAGAAGTTAGAATTTCAAAGGAGTGGCTTGGAAACAAAGAGTGTCAAAGGTATGACTTCAAATAGGGGGGAGGCATTGTTCTGGAAAATAAAAAGCAAAATCATATTCTAAACCCTGTCTTCAATTCTACATAAAATATTTCACAGTATTATAACACTGAAAATCCACCCTCAAAATTGCAATCCTCAATTTTGACAACCTGGATGCCTGTATCCACAACCAAACCCTATAACCTCTAAAAGAGGCTCTAATGGCATCCTGCATCATGTGTTGTGTTGCGAACTGAAAGGTCAGTAGTTGAAATTCACCAGCTGCTCCACTGAAGATGGGCAGTCTCCTCTTGTAAAGAAGTACAGCTTTAGAAACTCAATGGAGGATCATTATGAGTTGGGATCAATTCCGAAGTGGATGGCTTTGGTTTGTAACATCTACAAATGTCTTGTTTCTTCCCAATGGACCAAGGAAAGTGCAGGGCTGAAACTCAGTTGAAATTGGGGTAGAGGACGTGATCATTTTGTTCACCTAAAAATATGTATCATCTTGTCTTTGGAGAGCCGTTCATATTACTAAGGAGATGTAAGATAATCTTTAACATCATCCTTATCAGGTAAAATCAAAGCAAGCATGAAATAATGGGGCAAGAGAAAAGAGAGGTGAAGATAATGGGGTAAGATAAAATGGAGGTGAAGATAATGAGGTAAGACTACAACTTTGAGGATAAAAGCATGACCACAAAAATATAGTAACTGAGGTTTGATTATCTTGCCATATGAAAGCCACTTTTGGATTAGGGCTAGTGGGCTTTCTGGCTGAGAAACACTGTACAAGAGTCTAGAACTGGTTTAATCAAAGCTCCAAACTACTCATAATCTTTTATTATTTATAGCACTATCCCGTGGTCACAAATTCAGCTCATCAGCCTGGTATTATATAACCCGTGCAATGGGAGTAAATGGATTAACGGTGGCAGTAATTTCCCTGACATTACTCCCATGCCTCTCATCAAAAGGTAAAGTCTGTGCTTTCTTCTTTTGAATTGGACAGGTTCTGTGTGTATTGACCAGGAGCCTATAACACTGCAATGCTGTGCAAGTTTCCAAGTCCAGGCATTTACAAATACGTAACTTTCATTTCCAGTCATTTGGAATATTTTCCCAAGAATCCTGGAGGTACCATTTATAACCTTGAGACCACCCGTGGGTGCACAAACAGTCCTAGCTGAGCCTCGCCTTCCAGCCATCCCTGGCAAAAGGCACACAGGGAGAGAAGTCAGCCCATGAATCAGCTAATGGCCATCACGTGGTCTCCATCAAGGTCTGGTGAGACAGAATAATTGCCCACCAATTCTGTCCTAGCTCCTAAAACTATAAAAATATGGTTCCTGCTTTGTATCTCTCTCTCCATTTCAAGGTCCTTGGCAACACGTACCTAACTGGGACAGAGTATTTATTTCCCTTATACCGTATCTTTTCCCCTCCAAAATGAGCTATTATTTGCCCTTCCTATACATGACTGTATTTGTCAAATATCAAGCCTAACCTTGCCCTCCCAACCATTCACTCCAGTTTTCATTCTCTACCTACCGATGAAACCAGATGATGGAGGGTTGGGCTGAATCTTCTCCTTGGTGTTCTCTTGGATAATGTCCCAGAGCTGCCATATGAATTTAGGATGGAGAATGTAAAAGGGCTGACTTGGGTTTCTTTGACGATGCTGAATATACGGAGTGAAAAGGTTGTAGTCTGGCTTCTTATACCACTAAGAGAGAGGGGACAAAATCAACACAATCAAGTACAGAAAATATATAGAAACAACAAGACAAGGCAGCAGCCAGGAGAGGGGAGCCAGAGGCTGAGGAGACAGGAAGGGGTGAGAGGGATGTGGGGAAGAGGATGATCATCAAGTCTACAAGTACTTCCTCACTTGGATGGGAGAGTTCCGGTAGCCTAGTGGTAAGAGACTGAGCTGCAGTCTCGAAGTCCTGAGTTTCAAATCACCACCTGCTCCATGGGAGGATGGGCAATCTCCTCACAGGCGATTAAGTTCCTCTGAAAGCCCGCAGGAGAGTCAGCTATGGATCTATCAGCTGTGACTTGGTGGTATACAACAATAACAACAACATGGAAGGAATACAAAGACAGACCAGGACTAACGCCCCAGCAATGGCTATGTCTTTATTCCAATAAAACTGTTTGTATGTAAGTTACAGCACAATGAATACATTCTGGGTTGGTGTTTTGTTTGTTTTTTTTTTAATAAAGTCTCCAGAGGTGTATCAAGTGCCACCATGAATGGGATTTGGGGAAGATGTGAGAGGGAGAAGCTTAGCTCTTGCTGTGCTCAAACGGATAGCTTCCTGTTGCTGCTGTTAGGTGCTAATGTGTCAACCACAACTCAAAGTCACCCTATGGACAGCAGACCTGAACTAACCTATTTATTTAAAAATATCCTACTCATATCTGGGAATTATATTTTCTAAAAACACACAGGTTATATCCAGAAGTTGACAGAAAAATACTGTTCACATGATTCTGATTTGCATCCACGGTTAAGAACCAGTTAGCAAACTTAATAAATAAAAATTCATTCTCACTTTTGCACAGTCCTCAAACTTTGTCTTTTTCCCAAGGGACCTGAGCAGTCCTATTCTATGCCATCTTCACCAGCAACAGATACCTTGTGTGGAGTATTAAGATCCCAAGTAATATTCTATTGGTGGAGGGTATTGTGCTTTTAAAATTTTGAAAATGATTTGGCCACATTACATTGTGGCCCCCCAAACTATAAGGCCCTGGGAAGAAGCAAAAGTGCAGGACCAGAGGAGGAACTGTTCCCTTCACTCCTCCTCTTCCAGATATCTTCATGACCTTAGCATGGTCTTAGCATGACCACAGTGCAGGTCCCCACAGCCATGAGCCACATCACTAGTATTTTAGTTCAGTTGCTACCCACACCTTCCATGATGGGCCATGTCACTAGTATTTTAGTTCAGTTGCTACCCACATCCTCCACGCTGGACAGAACTGTGCCCTGGGCTTAGAGGATTCCAACTGGGATGAAACAAGCTCTCTGTTCTCTTTACAAAAATGCAAGAAAATTATCAGAGCTTAAAGCCAGAAAATCTCACTCACACTGAGAAGTGAAGTGAAAAGCATAGCACTCATTTGATGTTTGAGTCTCAAGAGAGTACACACGGGAATCAACCCAAAATTCTTTTCCAAAAACACAAAAAGCTTGTATCCAGAATTTCTGGAAATAGGGTGATGACAGTTAGGAAAATACTCTTCAAGTGATTCTGATTTGCATCCCTGGTTAAAAACCAGTCAGCAATTATGCTGAGTAAAAATCTAGCCTCGCTTTTGAGATGCACAATCAATCCTCAAACCCTCTTTTCCTGAGGGACTTATTGTGCCACAGGCAGTTTTCCTAGAAGGTTACTCCTTATGAGAAGTGTCATCTTACATTTCACTTTAAGAAAGGGGTACTTTCTTAGGACTAACGCAAAAGGCGTTCATTTGCCCAGTTGTTAGATTAACTACCATCCGCATTGTCAGTCTGCAGTATTTTCTTGCAACGTTAAGAAGGAAGAAGCTGGCTGCTTGTTTGCCGACAGACAGACATTTACTGCAATTTCTGTACTCTTAACTAGCTTGTGTTCTGGTGGCTAGTGATCAACTTGCTTAAACTCTATCATGCAAGTTAAAAATGGCTCGGAGGCAGAAGCCAGAGAGAGAAACACTCAACAAAAGCCTGTAACAAGTTTCACTGGAATAATAATGAGCTATTGATTCACAGAGTTTATATTTTCTTGCCAAATCTTTCAAATTTATTTCAAAAGGTCTTGTAACTACTGGGAAGGTGATGTTACCATAGAGCAATTTAAAAACTCTGCGTTTAATTAGCGTAAACTTGCAGTGTAATGAAGAATTTCTAAGCATTTCAACAGTACAGCTTTTCATATCCTCCAGAACATTTAGCATGAGGCTGATAATGCTCACCTGTAAGCAGGCAGGAGGAAAATAGTGTTAACATATATGTATGCCACTAATCTCCATCATCACTTTATTCTGTGTACCAAAGCTTAATCTCTGGCTTGCCCTTATTTTTTATTACAACAAGCATTGTCCTGGCTATTGTGGGATGGGTTGTGTAATTGACCAAATCTTGTCCCCTCATGGTAAGTGTTGAAATCCTCTACTGGGAGATGAATTACACTGTGATCGAAACAATGAGCATGCAGCAGAGACTAAAAGAGGGGGTGCAGGGTCATGCAGGGTTTCATTGAGTTGCACATGGGGCTGTTATGAGTCAGCCACAACTCAACAGGACCTGATAACATACGGTTTATTTGTTATGGTAACGAGGCTGTATCAGTATAAGGTGCATCTTATACATATTCAGTTCTAAGCAGCAGCAAAGATATACAGACAAGGCAGGCCACAAAAGGACAACAGGTGCTTTACAAAGATCAATAAGGAACCAAGGAACACAAGCTGCAGAGCTGACAGACAGATCCCTTTCCTAGAGCTGGTGCTCTGAATTTGAACTTCCAGCCTCCTAAATGATGCAAAATTACTTTCTGTTCTTTAACGCTACCCTTGTTGCTGTTTCTGTTACATCAGCACTAGGAAATGAAAGGGAACAACTTACGAGGTTGAGATTGGCTGAATACGGAGCAGGGTCCCACGCCACCAAGATGACATCTTTATACAATGAACTGTCAATGAAGTGATGGCTGGGGTTGGTTAGAATCTGCAGATACACAGGGAAAACAATATTCAAAACCAATGTTTATATCTTCAAAATTGGATTATCAACAAATATGAATGCTACAAAGAGAAATCAAACCAAGAATATATTTTTTAAATTTTTTTTTAGTTATTATTAAATTTTATTAGTTTTAATGAACATTTACAGAGATTTTGGGTTCTCATTCATTCATTGTTGCACTGTTTTCTCTACCCTCCTCCCCAGTTCATTCATCTTCCCCATCCCCCCACCCCCTGCCCCGGATGTCTGTTTTAATTGTCCAATTGCCATAGTGCAAACCAAGAATATATTATCCTCAGACTTTAGTGGTTTTTTGGGGGGGTTTTTTTGTTTTTTTTTTTTTTTTGTGGGGAGAAGCAGGCATTAGATGCTGAAGCACTTAGAGAATGTCTAATAAAAGAACTTTTTGATTTATATTTTTTTTCCAAATACAGCCTTAAATATTCACCAACATATTGCTATATCTAATAGCACCAAATCAGCTCCTCAGAGATGTAATTCTCTAGTTAATTCAGGGGCCCCAACCTCTTCCACAATTGCTTTGACAGGTAATTTGGGGAGTGAGGCAAGTGTGGATAAAGTGGGTTATTAAGGCGCCTCCAGAGTGCCAGCCTCAGGACAAACGGGACACAAAAAGAAAGAGCCAATACACTTGAATCAGCCCCAGGCTATGACAGTCCTTTCTCTGTGGCTATCTGGTTCTGGGTGATTTCTTCAATCTCACCTGCCTATCATATTTTTTTCCCCAGTACCATTTTAGAAAAATACAACCTACTATTTTCTTTTATTTCAAGATGCACTTTTTTCCCCTTCACATTTTGATGTTTCTGAAAGCAGGCTGGATCTTACTGGTGACATACACCTTCACACTTTGATGTTTCAGAAAACAGGCTGGATCTTACAGGTGACATACATTTTAGTTTGGTGGGCTTTATCTCCTCCCCTCTGCAAAGCTGTCATTAAACTGAGGCTGGATCTTCCCAGCAATGACATGCGCATTAGGGAAATATGGTAATTGTTTCCTAACTTGCTGCAGGCTGCCTGGCTCAGTGAACTGTGCAGAAGAAAGTCAATCTTTTGTTCCACAAGCAACTCAAAATAAATCACTCATCACCTTGTTTCCTTTCTTTCTAGTTTGGAAGATCTCTGTGGTTTCTTTCTGAGGATAATTCTGCTCTACGTTTGGAAGACTTTCTTATAAGAACAAAGAGAAAAAAAGCATTTTCATTCTCAATAGCACAATTTTCGTCTTCGAATTTTCAAGCAACAGGCTCCAGTCCAAAGCTATCCTACTCACTCACAACTCACTGTCATCAAGTCAAGTCTGGCTCACAGTGACTCTCTCTTGGGTTTCCATGGCTGTAAATCTTTGCAGGAGGAGATTGTCCCTCTCATCTTTCTTTTTCCCGTGGAGCTGCTGGTCGCTTTCACCAGTCCACCTTGCAATTAAGCAGTTCAATATATTACATGTTATGCTCCTTTACAGATCCTCAGGTTTCCTAACACGGCATCCAGTGAGTCCTAGAAAATAGCCAGTGACTAAAATACACAAGTAAATTTTCCTAGCTTAGAGAACACTCCACACATCTGTGAGTTTCAATAAACGGTGATAAAACTGGGAGTTGTTCCGAAATACACCACACAGTTTATACCAAACAGGTGTCTACAAAGATTGCTTTTACCTTCATAAAGTCTTAATGACTGCTGGAGAGTTCTCTGCAGCTTGAAATCAAGGAAATGTGCAAGAAAATCTTGTTTGCTTGTTTTTAGAGAGTAGGAGATATTCCTACCCCTGCCAGTGTCTCCCCCACCCCGACCCCAATTTTCTCTTAAGATGCCACTGAGTAAATGTCCTTGAGAGAACATCTGGGGTTTGGATCCACGTTTGCTGGATGACAAGAGGCAGCAGCAAGCACCTGATCTGTCTTGCCTCAGCATCCTCGTTATAAATTGGGATTAACAGTCAGTCAGGATCATTGCCTAAGTCAGATACTGCACATACGGCTAAAAGAACACCAGTATAAAAGAACTGTCTATAAATCCTGCCTACCTTACTTTGGCACTTTTGCTTTCCCTTCCTAATTTTTTATAAGTTACACTGATTTTTCTTCAATTCACAAAATGGAACATGTTAAAGCTATGACTTTAAAATATATACATACATGTGTGTAAAATATTTCCATACTTATTGCAGTTTTTCTTTGGAACTTATTTTTCCCTCGGCCTGTCATGCCTAAGTCCTTATTTCTCTGCATTCCCTGCCTCCTCCAAAAGCGAAACCTAGAGACAATCAAATGTAACAGTCACGGGTAACCAGCTACAGTCTCATCACTCATCCAGTTGAACAACTATTACTTATCTACAAAACGTACATCTGTGGGACCCCCCCCCACCCCGTTCTTACCTGGGAATTAATGATGCGCATGGTGGTTTTATTTCCAACATCTTTCTCATAACCACGTGTAGGAGCAGAGTTAAACCTCAACACTGCATCATGAGAATCTAAGGGCACATAAGTGATAAGCTTACTTTTTTTCTCTGTGGAATCACATAATCTAGGAGAAAATATTAAAGTAAATCTTTCAATATCGGAAGCCAATCAGACACCACCAATAAAGTTAAGATACCATACACATTTCCCCCCCCAATACTTTACTGCTTGTTTAGAATGAGATCCTGAGTAGGGAGATAAGTCAATATTAGAAAAATATGCGTCCATTTAATTATGAACGATCTTGTAGCATTTGAGTTTTATGTATCTGTTACACTTTCACATTCTTTACATGTGCTTTTTATACCTCCGTTCTCTCTAAGGTTCCCAAGAATTTAGATGGTGCGATTTGAAAGAACATGTAAAAATGCTAGAAAACTGGAGCAGCTGTGCTAAGGACCTTGTCAGACATGCATACTGGTCATGATAAATCCACACTGTGTCCAATACTTCTCCATTCACCAAGATCACAGCCACCCCCTTGGATCTGACCTTCTACTTTTGGGTGCTAATTGGAATTTAAGAAGAAAACCTAAGCTGTTTATGTGCAGTCTTACTGATGAGCAATGATGCCAGAAAGACCTAAACACTGGAGCACCGTGTACCACCAGGAAGGGTCTGATTTGCTGCTGGAGCCTGAGGGAATAGGAGGGACCACCACCATTATGTATGCCCAAGGCTCTTTCTATCTGCACTGGTGCACCGTGGGTTCACCAAGCTTCAACTACACAACATATACTGCTACCCAACTCCATTCATTTTGACATTCAGACTTTCTCAAGGTGCTTGAATGCTGAGTTGAGAGGACTTGGGTGAAAAGAAGGCCTAGACAATGAGCTCTCATGTAACACAGACTGCAAAGGAGGCAAAGAATAAGGAAAACTCATTGTCATCAAGTTGACTGCAACTCAAAGTAACTCGACTGAGTGGAGTAGAATTGTCCCACGGGGTTTCCAAGGCTGCAGTCCTTACAGGAGTCGTAGGCCTCAGCTTTTCTCATGGGAAGAGCTGATGGGTTCAAGCACATGACCCTTCCCTTAACCACTGTGCTCCCAGGACTTCATGTTGGGGTAAAGTCTTACTTAATTAAAGGATGGAGCCCCAGCATGGCACAAACAGTAAAAGGCCGGGCTGTTAAATGGAGAGTTAGAGGCAACTACAACTGGATTTAGTCTGCACAGAGGCACCCACAAAAAAGGCCTGGCAAATAAGAGAGATGCAAACCATCGCACTCTAAGAGCAGGGGCAAAGTTTTAACAGGACAGCAAGTAATAAATGCTGGAGAAGATGTGGTGCGATGGGAACTCTTATACGTTGCTGCTGTAATTGTACAATGTTACGACCACTCTGGAAGGCAGTTTGGCGCTTCCTCAAAAAGGTGAGCCTAGAAATTCCTTATGACTACTTGGAATACACCCCAAGAAAATAAGAACTGAGACACAAAAGGAGACTTGGACACCAGTGTTCATAGTAGCATTATTCACCTTTGCAAGAACATGGAAACAGCCCAGATGTCCAACCACATCGAATGGATTGAGAAGCTATGGTACATTCATGCAATGGAATACTATGCAAAACGCAGGAGCAATGATTTTGTAAATCATTACCTAACTTAGGAGTGACTGGAGAACACTATGCTGAGTAAAATAACCCAGTACCAGAAAGACAAATAGAAACAGGTGTGGCAATCTACTTCCAGTAAAACATCCTTTATTTAAAATTATAGGGAGCACAGTTGTATGTGAAACACTGGGGTCACCGTAAGTCGGAGATGATGCAACAGAAACTGGTACTGGGATGTGTATTCTTCTTTAATATTTTACCAACATGTGACAAGCGATAGTTTTAAAATCTAGTTGCAATGTGGTATCTAAAACCATATCACTGAACTTTCCTATTTTGTGACATTAAAATCCATTATTCTATCTTACTCCTAAAAAAGTGGTGAAAACAAGTGTTTAATCAATTAACCTGAAGACTGGTGGTTTGCATCCTCACAGCATCATCAATGAAGAAAGGCCTGGCTGATGGTCTGTTTCCTAAGATTATGGACAAGAAAACACCAAGGAGCAGTTAGATTCTGCACCACATGAAATGGCCTCAAATCAGAATTAATTAAACACCAATGGGGCCATTCATTGGCTTAATAGGTTATTTTGCCCGTAAAATGGCCCTTTTACCCATGAATAATTTGGAGCACTACATATTGTTCATTTGGGAGATACTGGTCGAGTGAGTTATAGATCTTTCCAGTACTGGTATGACTACGGATTTCATAAGCTATTAGGGGATGGGAAGCTTCCTAGCTCTTGGCTGAAAGCTTGAATTTTATCACTGGCAAGAAATGCTATCAGATGTTCTTCTAAATATGACAGTCTCAATTCATTTTGGAGAAGCATTTGCCAAAACCTAAGCCTGAATGCTCTGGTGGCTAAGCGGTAAGAAGCTGCATTGCAATCCCAAAGGCACGTAGTTCTCAGCTGCTCTGAGGAAGAAAGATGGCCAATCTCCTCTTGTGTGATTTACTGTCTCAGAAAACCAGCTGAAGGGTAACCTATGAGTCAGTGCGAACTCAATGGCACAAAACAAGTCTGAATACTTAAAGTATGACTGTCATTTTGTTCAAGTGAGTTATCTCTTACCAACAAAGTGGCTTGTTCACCTGACAACTCAACAATACAAGCAATTCTCTATTGTGCATTTATATGTAGATATGCTTCTTATATCTTTCCCATTTTGTTACACCATAATACTGTGTCCTCAAAGGTTGTCATTTAATAAAATGTCATTACTCAGTGAAATATTTAGTAAGATATTATGTGCTATGCATCGGAGAGTTGGACAGTGAATAGGGATGATAGAGAATTGATGCCTTCGAGTTGTGGTGCTGGAGAAGAGTACTGAATATACCATGGACTGCTAGGAGAACAAACAGGTTTGTCCTGGAGAGGGTGAGGCCAGAATGTTTCCTGGAGTCAAGGATTCTGAAGCTTCGTCTAACATACTTTGGGCATGTTGCAAGGAGGGACTGGTCCTTGGAGAGAGACATGTTTGGGAGAGTGGAGGGACAGCGCGGGAGAGGAAGACCCTCGATGAGATGGATCGATTCTGTGAGTGGAGTGGTGGGAATGAATGTGTTTGAGACAGCGAGTTTGGCACAGGATAGAACAGTGTTTAGGGCTCTTTTTTTTTTCTATAATTATATTTTATTAATTTTCATAAACATTTACAGAGATTTTGGGCTTCCACTCATTCATTGTTGCACTATTCTCTCTACCCTCCTCCCAGTTCGCTCTTGTCCAAATGCCACAGTGCTTGTCAAAGCCAGTTCTGATCAATCTTCTTTGTCAGTGTATCCTTTGCCATTCCCTATCACTCCTCCCTGAGAGAGACTTCACCCTGAGTCATAAGGAAAAGGGGACGGCGTATTCTCCTAGCTACTTCCTGCTGAAAAGGGACGCTGTGGGTTTCAGGGCGAAGATCTTCTCTCACTACTCTAAAGGGCCCCCTTGGCAGTAGGAAACACACAGACTATTATGGAGATTGACTTTGGAATTCAGATGCACTCTTATTGATCGTGCTTGGCTGTACATGTACATATCCTTCAAGATGTGTCATGGGGGTGTTGCAACCTAGAAGACACAAATTCGACTAACAAGTTATAAGTACATGAGTCCAAAAATTATGGAAAAGTAAAAGAAAAGATTCTTTCATTGTTTTACAAACCCTCCCCCAGGTCCCCTCCACCATGCAGCCCTCGCTCTAGTCTCCTGTGATGACAGAAATACCCAGTTACATCTCTCTTTTAGACGGTTCTCTCCCTCCTCTGTTTCAGTGCAGTATACATTATTGAACCCATCTTACTCATAGGGCTCTTGTACACAGGGTCACTATGAGTCACAAATGACTCAATGGCACATAACAACAACATTACTAATAAAATATTTAATAAAATGTTTTAATGAAACCCATAAATTAAACTGTGATTTGTTTTTCCTTTTGTGCACTGGGAGATGAAAAATGGATAAGGAATGTCTACCAATATAGTTTGGTACCACTGCTTGGTTTACTCATCTTTCCTTATGTACCAACCATTAGAAAGGCATCTATATTACTACTTTCATAATAAATAGTTTCCACATTGCAGACCTTTCAAAAAGCCTTAGGGACTTCAAGGGTACATCGATCACCCCATGTGGACTGCTGCCATTGACCAGCCTCCTTGTAGGCAGAAGAGTAAATCAAGGCTCAATACTAGTGAATGCCAGGAAGTCAGAGGCAGAAAGTGTGAAGCTGCCATTCTATGCCCTTGAGTCTCGTGGTGACCCCAGTAAACCATGCTGTGTCCTTAGTCACAGCCTCGGGCTGAATGTAATATAAATGAGACAAGGGGTCTAAGTAGTGGGTGCATTTCAAGTTAGTGAAACAATAATTACTAATCTGTAATATCCCTGAAAATGGCCCAGACTTTATAAAACCTCATTTACTGAAAGGGAGCTCTGGTGGCCGACTGGAAAAAAGCTGCACAGCAATTGCAAAGGCATTCAGTTCTAATCCACCAGCTGCTCCATAGAAGGATGAGCAATCTTCACCTGTGTGATTTACTAACTAGGTTGGTTCTGACTTGACAGCACACACCACCACTAATTACTCAAAGGCTGGCGGCTGGGGGTCCACCCCCAAGGTGCCTTGGAAGAAAGGTCTGGCAAACTGCTTTGGAAAAGTTCACAACCACAAAAATTCTGTGGAGTTCAGTCCTACTCTGAGACAAGTGGGCTCACAAGGAGTGGGAAAGGGCTCAACAAGAGATCTGTTTGTTTTACACTGCATTTATTCAGGTCTGAAGCTTTCCAAGGACTCCACAAAGTGCAGACTGTAGCCATGAGATTTAGCTTAATGCCTTTGCTAATGGTATTAGTCTAAAGAGTTAAGAAGGCAAACCTGGGTAGGAGGAACTGAGAGCAAAAGATAAAAGGCTGCTGAAGGTGGAGACTGGCTGTATCCAGTTAGA